TAATGTTTAGTACATCCTAATTACTTAACACATATGCTAATCTATCTTCTGAGGCACGAAGGGCTATTTAGAGACATACTAGAAGCAGAAACAGGAATATGGAGGAACACAGGAAGTCCTAGATTAGATTAATGTTCGCAGACAATTAGGGATGCCGAATGTTGCAGTTTTATATGTCAAAAACGGATTTCTTAATGTTTAGTGCATCCTAATTACTTAACACATATGCTAATCCATCTTCTGAGGCACGAAGGGCTATTTAGAGACATACTAGAAGCAGAAACAGGAATATGGAGGAACACAGGAAGTCCTAGATTAGATTAATGTTCGCAGACAATTAGGGATGCCGAATGTTGCAGTTTTATATGTCAAAAACGGATTTCTTAATGTTTAGTGCATCCTAATTACTTAACACATATGCTAATCCATCTTCTGAGGCACGAAGGGCTATTTAGAGACATACTAGAAGCAGAAACAGGAATATGGAGGAACACAGGAAGTCCTAGATTAGATTAATGTTCGTAGACAGTTAAGGATACCGAATGTTGCAGTTTTGTATGTCAAAAACGGATTTCTTAATTCCACATGGGTGTGGGTTTCCAATAAGTTTTTGGACCGATGACCCTATGATGTTGAAACCCCTTTTTTGAAATATTTCAGACAAAAATCTAATTAGGTAATGACCAATTGGGTCTCGAAAGCAACCTCCTTTTAAACCCTGATTTGATAATAGACCAATTTAACTTTGTTTTTTAAAGATATTAATTTACACTTAGAGTATTGTTTGTAGAGGTTATTAATTATTAAATTTGTACAACTATCAAAGCATTCGATATACATAAGTTATTTACATTTTTATCACGAAGCAGTACCTTTACCTTTATTACAGGTATGAACACGGAAGATTCTCTGTGGATTGTTTTATTGTGTATTTATGTATGTAATGCAGATACTTTGTACCTAAACAACAACAGAATCAGGTTGTACGACCTTTGCGAAAACGTGATGAAATACTTAAATACTTTTACCGATAAGGCTTGAAAATAAACAAAAGTTTCTGAACAAATTTGACGTATTCCGTTTTCGTTTCACAACATGCGACGAATTTGTAGACGCACATACTTATTTATGCATTAATATGTGTACATGTTAACTGTTTCAAAATTATTTAGAAATTTATAATTTAATTGTCTACACATTAATAACAACTTTGTACAATTAACATAAATTAGAAGCAGATTCATTTCGAATTTACGAATTTCTATTTGCTGATCGTAGCAATTTAAAATTCGTGGTATACTGAGCGTAACGTTAAACGGTACCGACTTTCTCTTTCTTTTATCTATCGTGAATTACGTCGCAGTCAATTTCAATAAATCGCTACTTCTAGATTCGCCTAGGCTAATTGTTTCAAAACGAATGGGATGCATCAAGGGGGTAGAATTTACGTCAAGACATTTGGGGCTATGTTCAAACATAATTCTTTTTATTTACTCCATCTCAATACTAAGAGGGGACCCTAAATGTCCGAAATCATGGATCGAAATCAATTTTTGTGTGATATAAACACTGCACGGTGTTGTAATGAGTAAGATGACATGCATTTTGAAGAAAACGTGTTGATTTTACGAAATTGAAGAAAAGACTTACAATTGGGGGCCCTTTTTAAACTTGTCAGTGGTTAAAGTCACTTTTAATTTGTGTCTAATGCGAATGTATGTTTGTTAGGTTTTCACGGCTCAATTACTCAACCGATCATCATGAAATTTTGTAGATGCATTATCAGAGGTACAAAAAAGGACATAGGGTGCCTTTTATCTACAAAAAAAAAGAATGCTGTTCCCGAAGGACAGAAAGTTAGATTACGTGGTTATCGATGATCTTTTACGCGTATTTAGAACATTACCTAGAGCGAAGCCATTGGTAAAATCTAGTAATACATAATTAGTAGGATGGTCCCCCGGTCACAGGTTCCAAAAACCCAATCACACTTAAAACTACATAATGAAAAAGGTAACGTTCACAGAAAAAACCCCGACAATTAATTTGACGATTGGATATTCGATTACGTTTTTTATTGTTGATTTTTGCTTTTCTTATTTGCACGATTTGGCTTGGATATAAATAAAAAAAATTCCGAGAAAATCGCAAACCAGATTTGAAGCGTAGCGAAGTACTTGTTTTATTGTTAATTGTACACGTGGAATTTGAGTTTTTTTTAAGCACTTCGTCGTCTTTTATGTTTGTTTACCTTTTTTCATGTATTTCATGCTTTTTGAAACGTGTATGTATTTATATAAATTTTCCAATAGGTTGTTTACAATCATATTCATCCGTTACGTAACAATTCCAAGTATTGTAATAATAAAATCAAGAGGAACTCTAATAAATTACTAAATTATTCCATATTGTTCAACACATTAATCATTTTCTACGCGATCAGTTTTAAAGTTAGTTTATAAATATAAACCAAATCAGAACTATAGAGGAGATGTAGGTAATATTTAACAAACGTTTCTTAACAATCCCTTCAAATAAAATAATGCTGTTCAGTCTCAATTTGTGATCAGTGACGTATTTTATAAGTGATTAAGTAAGATTTAGAAAGAAATAAAATATGTAGATTGTGCCACAAGAGATCAGCTTCCGAAATAATTTCCATTACGCACGATGACGTTGACGCAAAGAAAGAAAATTAATTGTTTTCTGGGAGACATTGCAATCGTTCTTCTTTTTCTAAAAACGTACCGTCACACGATACGGCCACTGAGAGGAAATTTCCGCGATTTTGGCACGATTTTAACGAAATCAAACTCAAGTTCAACGACTTAACCGAATATTGTATTGATGCAAAACAAATTAAATGTTACTACAGTCCATTATTAGCACCCCGTTAAATGGATTAAAAGAAAAATAACATCACCAGCGAGATGTCACTGACTTTTCCGTAAAACAAACGAACGTTTTGTTTTTTTTTTTTCGTCGTAAAAC